CTCTCTCGCTTTTTCCCTCGGAGTTTCCGTACCTTGCGACTTTTTGCTGTTGTGCGCCGAGCGAAATCTTCGGGTTCTCGTGTGCGAAACGTTCTTGCGTGGTTGCTCTCCGGACCGCTTAAAACAGAGGCAGATTCGACTTTGTCTCGAACAAACTTTAATCCTCCGCATCGCATATTCATAGATGACATCGTTAAATAATGAGATGACACAAAATCGAGATACACGCAGCATATGTAGGATACTTTATACTTTATACTTCTGCGGATTATTTTTTAATACAGTAGATTCTTTAATAGATTTTATGTTGTCTTTTTTTTAATAAATACTATTTTGAGAAAAAATAGTTTTTAAGTTGTAGTAATTAACGATAATTCTAAAAAATGTACTGTAGTTTGACGAAAAAATCTGCGTTGAAGATATCAGTATGCAATACAAAATGCTGGCGCTTTACGCAATACATATTTCTCAATTAGTCCCCTCATAATTTTTCACGACGGACTATTTAACTTGGACACAATATTTTAGGCACGTTTTAAGATGTCTGCGGACGAAGTCTGCAAGGATCCATCGGGCCATCTGGCCCGAGAGAATTCGTACGCGGCTCCGACGTTTCCCATCCTCGAAACGTAAAGTATCGATGCCGCTTCCCTGATGAAATATCGACACTTGACTTCTTGGAGTAAATGGAACCTTTCGCGCGGTAACGTCATATGAAGTTCCCGGAGGATCACCGCCACTGCCGGCAGTTTGTATCGATTTAACGTCTGACCATGTATGCCTCCCGTTAGTCGTCATATGTGTGTCAGGTGCATCCCCCTCGTCTTATTTATTCGCAATCTCACTCATATTCTTTCCCGTAACGTATAAATTTTTCAGCGTTGTCGTCGCGAGATTCCTCCCCGTCACTAAAGCGCCGTAAAAATTTTGCCAGGATAGAAGTGCAGCATCCACATTAAATTGTTATGTACACGATTCTCCACTTTCACGCTATTTTCTATTTCCTTGACTAATTTATGTCGAATCAATTTTTCTTTGAAAAAGTATCATCGCTTATTGCAATTTTTATCATGAAGAATCGCGAAACATCGATGGTACAATTTTTTATTAAACATATAAAACCTTCAGAGATTTTCTTCTCTTAAATAATTCAAGTTTCGATAAGTATTATATACCAAATTCTGCGGATGATCTCTGTTTTCTTTTCTTTTTTTTTTATAAGGTACTGATTGTTTTATGGACCGCGCCCGTTTTTCTTTTTTAGTTTTCTTTTTTCGGTGAAAGCACTCGCTGATAACACAGTTCGGTTCGTGATAATCGGACCGATTTATGAGTCGAGATGGGAAGTTATCACGGTGCTGGTGAAGCAAAACATTGGCAGCTTTATCGGTCTGGAAGTCTCCTCTCGTTACTCTAGAATAGTATACCGGCAAATTTATCCCACTCGCTCCATATATGCGACTGGTAATTAATAAATGTTCTTGAGCGCGCGATATTTACGATGGGATGCGGCGGCAATGTCGTTATTGCGGTACGCATTAAACAGAATGCTCGTGTGCGATGCGCGTGCCAAGCGAGGCCTTGTCGTCATTCGTAGTTAAATTCCCGACGGCCGTTTAATTCGCGTAGACGCTAAATGGCATTCTTTTTTCGATGGGGCAAGGTAAGCCATTTCGCGTGTTAGGGCAGAAAGACGCGGCTGATTCGCGTAATTCGAGCAAATTGCACAATAATGCCGGCGGAATATTCGCCGAGGGATCTTAATGGTATTTTTATCGACTTTCTTTCCAACGCCGCGGCGACGAGCTCCGTGCGGCCTGTCTTGAAAATGTCCTGGAGTCTGCCGCAACGAGCGGTGAGCGTCCTTTTTCCCTTTCACCCTCCACCGCAAACGCGTACCGATGTGGTGTACATTTTTTAAATGAACCTTACAATAATTTTTACATTAGTTATTTAAATTAATTTTCCCTGTGTGTATGTGTGCGTACATGTGTGCATACTCTCGTCTCACTTAATCGTAGCCATAAAGGCGCGAAATTACCATCGCACCCTGTTCGACAAAATACCTCACTTCGCCTCTGCGCGTCCCGCATCGCCGACTACGTGTCATTAAATGCAAATTTCGCGCGGCCAGTAGGGCGACTGAAGACGAAAGTTTAAGCCGCATTTAGTGAAGCGTTCTTGCCGATTAGAAGCAGAACAGGTGTATCTCCGGCGAGCAGTAACATACGATTTCCGTGGCGAATGCCCGGTATTCGTTGCGAACTTGACTTGTAATCGCCAGTGTGTCTCGGCTGTTCTACGATGTCTTGATGTATATTTCAATATGTTCCTTGTATACGTATGTTCGAGTGAGACATAACAGAAATTACGCCGTCGTGTTTGTTTATCGAGAAAATCACATTGTCAAACGATTAATGATGTTATCGATATTCCCGCGAATCGAGTCAATCATTATTAGCGTAAATTTTCAACCTGATTGCTTCCACGCGACGAGTTATCGGATCAATTCTCACTTGTGTCAGCGCGTTAACTGTTAATCGTCTTTTATGACATGCAATCCGATCTCCAAACACACGACACCAAATGAAACGTGTTGCGTCATTCATAGGTGCGAGCAATGCCTTCATGTTACCAGATAAATACTTTTTAAGGAAAAAAACATTTTTGAAGTAATATTTCCAGACATTTATACATTACGAAACTTTTTGACAAAGTAGACATTACCGTGTTCGAGCAATCAATTGATAAGAAGCTTCATAAGATACAATTTTCATTTTTCCCCTTTTAAAAAATAATCAAAATTTTACTTACATAAGTAATAATTCAGCAATATCAAAACACAATATTTTTATACGACAAATTTTTTATATAATTTTTTCGTTTAATAAGATGAAGGCATTTTTATAATTATTACTAGCGTACATCCGTCAGCGCATTTTATCGCTCTTATGAAGCACTCGCGTCTCTCTTTCGCAATTTCTTTTTATCAATTTAGCGCCCGTCATGTATAGACGGGACGATCGACTGATATCGTATGCGCGGGTGTTACATTAGCTCACACGACCTTCTCGGCTGAACGTGGCCGGAGCGTGCGCGTAACGAAGCGCCTGCTTCTATAAAAGTCGTCATGCGCAAGCGAATTTTTTCTTTTTCGTGCAAATTTTTGTTCGTTGTGTCTTTCGATAAGTCGCGGATTCTTTCTCGAGAGTTTCTAGTGCGTCAGCGCGCAGTCATCAATCTCGCTGCGTGCCAGCCGGGAGAATCCGTCAAACTTCTTTCGAAACGATTTGATAAGTCAACGAGCGAAAAATGCGATAAAACGCGCTAAATGTATATATAAAATTGCTACGTCAATTTCTTTATATTCCAATCTGTGCACTGTATTTAAAGCAGTGGTACTTTATACTTCTCTTACAGTTTTAACTTTCTCCGGAAGTTCTCTTTGTTTGTTTCTTAAAATATTACCTTTGCAAAAACCAGACTATTTTTAAAACTAATTTAATAAGTAAAATTCTGGCTTTTCTCAAAGAATACTACAACTTTCTAATATACTTGTAAAAGATTCTGAAATGTAAATAATTTGAAGATATGACAAGTGCTTTTATATTTCGATCAGAATCGATTTAAATCATAATACTTTTCGATATAATTCTACAAGCGTTATCCAAAAAAAATTACAAATAATGCCACATTTCAGAAAAAAATTTTTAGCATTGTGTAAAGTGGCTGTTTTTTATCTTAAAACATAAATTAAAATTATTTACTGCATTCTGCATTTTCAAATAAAGCTGCTAATCGAATAAGATAAGATATTCTGATAACTATGTAAAAACTATTATTCGTTCAAGTCGCATTTTGATATGTTGTAAACATGATGGTTTCCGGAGTTTTAGATGGTGATCTTGCTGCGTCCATCTGTAATCCCGGCTATTCGTGAGCACCTCCAGAGCGAAACCGTCGCGTCTCTGCAAACTAGTTTATGCCGAGAACCGCGCAATAAATTATCATGAACAGCACCCACGGGGACGGCTTTTCGCAATGTATTATGCGCTGGACATGCTCGCAGAAAGCATTTTACGCAAATGAGAAGAAAACGCGCCTGCTCCGTGAAGACAAACATCGATTTTTGAAAGACGAACCGCACGCTTCTCTTCTTTCGTCCCTTTCCGCAATCGGTCTTCCGGTATCGTGATATATTGCGCGAATACGTTTTATTCTCATATAAATCCAATCTTCCGCAAAAGAAAGAGAAAGAGAGAGAGAGAGAAAGAGAAAGAGAGAGAAAGAGGGAGAAAGAAAGAGAGAAATAAAAAAAATTATTCGAGTTTCAACTTATATTTCTTATTGCTCGGCTTAAAGGAATTTAATTCTCCCGAGAGCCAGAGTAAATATCTCTATCCATCTATCGAGATTGTTTGGTCCCCATTTTTGTTCTCGATGTATTTATCTATCCCGTTTAATGGAAACTCGGAGCATTAATGCGGGCGATTTTTCATTCCCTTCCCCCTGCCACCACCCCCGCCCACAGGATACAAATGTGAATGAGAGCAAAGCATAGCGCGGAATGTAATCGCCCATGACGCGATTACCCGCGGAAATCTTGCCGAATCATCAGGTGGTTCGCCGCGCGACCGCCGCAGAACTGCGCAGTTTGCGCGCGTGTTTGTCGTCGCAGAGCCTAATTGTAAGCCGGTTAATTACGGCGTTTATTTGCGTGCGCGCCCATCCATCCGTCCGGCTACGCGAGCTGGCTGCTACCGCCGCCGTTGCGTTTCGCCGGAGAGATCGGTAATCGTCTATTCCGCGTTCCGCACAGAGACTTCATTACACCGAGCCGGCCCCCGATAATGATATTGAATGTACGATGAACCGTCATCAATTGTTGGTCGCGAAGTGCGTTCCTGTGTGTGTGTGTCTCTTTCTCTCTCTCTCTCTCTATATATATATATATATCTCTCTCTGAGATCGACAGCGTTAACGAAGTCAATTAGGTGCGAGGAGGAGGTCTCGCCTCGATTGCATTTCGCATGACGCAGAAATCTTCCGATTCGCGTATCGGTTTTGCTCGTAGATTTAGCGTGATAATTCGATCGATCGATTCGCCCTCTCTCCCTCCCGCGTTACGGTCGGCCCCGACGGCGTCCGCGCTCACATTTCCCTTCTCCTCCGCCCCTTTTCCTCCTCCTCGCCCATCCCCGCGGATCCCCCGTTCGCTTGCAAAGCGCGCGCCGGGCAATCTCATAAAGATGAAAGCGATTTCTCGATGTTAGCGTTTTAATTTAATCCTCTTACGCGCGGAAAACGGCGAGCAATGTTTTGTGGAATGTCTTCCGGCCCTCTCCCACTTCGTTCTCTTTATCGAGAGACTTTACAGATACGAGCCATTTCCAACGCGTCTCTCTGGATGTTTCTCCGACCCTGTTACGACTGTTAATTGGAAGTTGCGATATGGAGTTCCCGAATCGATCGTCAAGCTTTCGCAAACGCAGGATTTTTCGTTTAATCATTTCGATATCAATTTAATATTTTTTTCCCCCTATTGTGTTAATCATACATAAACGCACAACACATGTATATGAAGATGTATTTCAATTAAAATAATGACGGCGCGCGTGATAACTTTGGTCGATTTTACGCGATCGTAAAGACGGAGTTAACGAGTGTTATTTTATCTCGCCGGTGCCTTCTACGGACGAGGAAGACGAGAATGGACGAGCGGAGGGAGAGCTCCCGAAGTCCAAATGTTAGCCTTCTTATCGAAAGTCAATGACGTTGAAAATAATATCCCGGGCTAGACGCTTCGCATCAGCCGTTTATCTCAAGCCGCAGGAACTCCACTCCGTCCGCCAACAGTGAACGAAGTTATGGAAGTTCGCGGTCGCGCGCCGGACTAAAGTAGCGATTGTGGAGCGTTGCTCTTGTCGCGCGCAGTGCAGAGCACGAGCTGAGAGAAACTACCGTCTTCGAACACAAGGCGGCAAGTCGCTATTATCTCCGCTCGCGAGATCGATAATCCGTTCCGCTCGCGAAGACACACGAATCCGAGCTTCCATGCAATCTAATTAGTTCGAGGACGAAGACGACAACGACGACGACGACGACGTCGGCGATGCGAGTGTCGCTCCGCTACAATTGCGGCCGCCGTCGATCGGAAATGATATTTGCCTATTATGCGCGCTCTCGCAAAATGTATTAAGAACGGCGTAGGGGTCGGAAGAATACGTATGTAACGAAATTATAACGCTCGGATATAGTTTCGAATGTAGATTTTGTGACAATTAAGGGAACCGTTTTTCCTTTGTCAATATTTTATAAGAGTCCATCATCAGCCGCAAATATTTAATCTTTAACATTCAAGATCTAGATTTTTATAAGTCTTAAATTACCAGTTATATTTCTTCTCTTCTATTTATTTTACTCTATTCGTCTCAAATTGGATATACATTGAGCGAATGAACGAACAATGAACGAACAACTAACGTGAATCTTTGTGTTTGTATTCATCGCTCAATATTTATATTCATTTTTTCTCCTTTTCGTACCGACTTTCACATTTCGCTTGATCCAAGTATTCGCCGATGAAAATAATTAAACAGGATAATTATTAAATAGGATAATTATTGTAAGTGCACGTTTTACTGTAATAAGCTTTAATTAAAAAGAAAAGAGAATCTATAATAAATGGCATATCAAAATCATATACTAAACATTTTATTGTGGAAAAATTTTCGAGTTTTACACACGGAGAAAATTTCATATCAAAAATTACTATATACGGCAGTAACCGCGCAACATGAAGGAACATTATAAAAACGTTCACTATTTTTTCTAATATGTATATAATGGCCATAGTATTTAGCTTATAATTTCTGTTATGGTCCGCGGCTACTGCCGTATCATAGTAATTTTGATATAAAATTTTCTCCGTGTGGTAATTTATATTATCTATAAAATCCAATTAAATGAATAAAGTTAGTGCTAGTCTTTCAAGTCTATTTTAAACATAATTTTTTTATATTTCAAGAATAGAAAAAAAAATAATATGCAGACATGAACAAATTCGCTTTTCAGAGCAAACGGTTTATATTTTCTTTCTCGCTCGAAATTTCTTTGATGTACCGTCTTATGAGCGAATCGGTTCGAACGCGGCTCGCTGACGAATATTCTACTCGCGTTCGTTACAGAAAATTCGCATTCTTTGTCCGTTCATTGCTCGCTCGCTCGCTCGTTTAGTACACATTCGTTTCAACTCTAGATTCGACATATCTATTCACAAAACGCGATGGGAGTACTCGAACTAATGTTATTTCAGCAGGAAGTAAAGCCAGTGCCTCGGTGATTTTCATAGAAATGTGGATTCGCGTAAACGTCGCACAACGACCGGTTCATGTATATTTCTTTATTCCGCACGCAATGAGCTCACGTACTTCATCCGCGGCTGTTAATATTTTAAATTTATCCTTGCAATTATATACTCCAACGGCGCGTTACGTCTTCTTCTTCTTTTTTCGTTTTTTTTTTTATTTCAAAAAGTCTCCGCATATCCCCGGGGTAATAGCGGCGATATAAATGTTTCACAGTGTCGCCTGCGGATCCCCCGGTTGCCGCGAAATTTGATTAACGAATCCCCCTGAATTTTCTCTCGCAGGGACATCAGTATATCTGAAGTTTTGCATGACGGCTCGCCAGGAAATTATTAATGGCGCCGTAGGATTATCCGTGTTTCGCGAGTCCCGCGCTTCCCCGCCGGCCGCCAGCATCGAGATTCATTCGTCAAATCGCAGCGTCGCGCAACACATCCATTTTGCGCGTTCGGTCCGCGGAGACCGTCGAAGACGGGAGTACTGCAATTCGATAGAGACGGATGCACACGCGCGCGTCATCCTACGTAGATTATAATTCCATCGACGTTCGTCCGCGAAATAAAATCATGCGCCGCGCGTGCGATGTATTCTGAGGCATCGCGTTATCGATCGGATGCATTGCAACTGGCGCTAATTGCAATTGACGATTAATAATTAACGCGTACGTCCGTAATCCGCCGCGAAATAATATATCGCGTCGTCGTACGCATAACGGTCAGCGGTACGACAAAAAATTTACGGCAGCGCAATATGACGTTCAAACAACGGGAGCATCGGCTGGAATAACGTTACATCGTTTCGAAATTTCAAGCGTATTATTAAAAACTCAAGTATATTAGTGAAATAGTGCTCACATATATTTTTTAAACTAGTTTCTCATAATAATATATA